AGGATATTCCGGCCACACTGCTGGATGCGAACACGGGTTTTGCGGGATGCAGCCATCTTCCACTACGTGGGCAGATGACTACCGTGGCCACCAAGCAAAGGGCAAACTGCAGCGAGATCACTCCTGGTTCACTTCGCTCGAGGCCAACGATGTTGCCTTGCAGCGCAGCACCCTGTTCTGAAGACATTGTTGGCGAATCATGGGTTTCCAGCGTCAGTGCTGGGCAAACAGCTTTACCCTTTGTCATCTTTGTCCGACTCAGTGATATGTTTGGTGCAAGAAGCCACGGACCTGTTGACAACAAACCTGCAAAGCCCACTCAAAACTTTTCCTGGATGACGGCATCTGCCCTGACCACACTGCTCGAGCCCCGGCTTGCACCTCAGATGCGTTTCTCCCAGACTATTTTCAAAGGTCCGGCTCGCTCTGCCAAATTCGGAGCGGCACAGATTCGATGCAAAGAAGACGTTGGGTGAGCATGGATCTTGCCAGCGCTCAGCTGGATTGCTTACCGCATGCATTGGGAGCCGCTGTTTCAAAAACCTGCTCCCAAACTTTTGGGATTGCCGTGTTTATAGAAGTCTTGTGTAAGCTTGGTGGATGGTATGCCTTGCCCGGTTACATGCCGTGGCTGCCTAATAACGTTTGGCCGTGGCCTGCCACATGGAAGTCGGCTGAGGGCAACATCTTTCAGCTCTCTTCGAGGTAGGTAAGTCATGGGCTGCCGGCTCCTATCTAGTTCCCGCACTCACGCAGAGCTAGGTCTCACAGGTCGAGCACCCGTCTGCGATCTCTCAGCGGATGCTTCAGACGAAAGGGAGAAAGGGAGGGTTTTGACTCATAGCCTTTTGACCAATTGACTTCGATATAGACATAAAATCCATGGATAGATATTACTGATATCACATGATAAGCCACTTTCCATTCAAATTTACAGGCGTATCCCCTATTGCCATTTGATGGATTACATTGTTTGTTATATCATATCCCCCTTATGTCCCCGTGATGGCTGGTCTTATTTCCGCAAATACCATCCCTAAACTGACATAGACCCTCAGAATCAGGGATGTTTCGTTGACTTCCAAAGCGTTATTTTGGCAGGGCTCATGCTAGTTGGGGGGGACAGTAACTGGTTTCAGATACCCTTTGGTAATTTGACATAGCGAACTGGAAAATGGTCCATTTAGTTCGTTGATTTTACCTATTGAACATGGTGATTTTCCATAGTTTTGTGTATGTTTACCAGAGGGTAATTTTGGGACGGTTCGATCCACCCAAGGAGAGGCCCATTTCCATGATCCCTTCTGCGATTCCGCACGCATCGCAGGCGACAAGTCTACCAAGCTACGCGAGAAAATACAGAGCTGAGACAAACGTTGCTTTGCTGAGATCTTTTGGAGTGGGTAGACCTTGGTGTCCAAACGATTACCCTTTGGTAAACTAACATAACTATGGAAAATAATTGTTTTAAATAGGTAAATCAACTATAAATGGGCCATTTTCCATAGCTATGTTAAATTACCAGAGGGTAATGTGTATATTTATTTATTTTTGATAAAACATGTTTTGTGTTTAACAAGTTGAACAATGTTGAACCTATATTTGACACAAATAGGGGTTTACATGGGTTTACATTAATCAGCGGAAAAATAAAAGTTTTTTGAAAACAAGTAAGTTTTGCCATGGTCTCTACAGATCAATCGGAAACCCAGGGACTGACTATGGACATTTGGGACTGACCTAGGATGAATGTATCATCCTTCTGTGGGTCAATGGTGTTTGGCCAGAGCCAAAGCCACCTAGGAAAATGCGTTTTACTCTCCAGCAATAAGTATGGAAATGGAGAATTCCCCATGAACAGATTAGTTTGCGCAGTTTCATTGGTTAAACCACAAAAAAAAAAGACCTGGAATCAGCGTGTGAGCGCATTTATGCGTTAGGGTTTGAGGTCTGTTCCGCAGACTTTTTGAATCCTTTCATTCTTGAACCGAGAACAACATGACTCTTTGCAGTCTTGGTCACTTGTCTGCCCTTGTCACTGTCCTCCCTTTGTGCTCCTTTCATACCCCCGCTGCGTTGGATGTGCTTCCGAACCGTCAGGAACTTAGCTAACATCCTCAGTTGATGGCGCTTGAAGGTTCCAACCCATCTTGAGGGTCTAAATGGGTCCCGAGGGATGGCGGATTGTGTGACACAGTGGTGGAACAGCCCTCCCTGTGGTTACACAGCCAACCCCCTTGATATGCCAACTCATAAGGGATAATTACCATAGTAACCATAGTAGTTACTACCATATCAATGGGAATTTCAGTTAGTACCATATTTTTTGGGCATATGTTTGCTGGGATATGCTGGGATATTCCCTAAAAAATATGCATTATACATGGTAGGTACCTCCAATAAATCGGTTCCTGAAATAGCCATTGACCATAGTTATACACCCCTCTGAATAACATGTACCACAAAAACAATATTTTCCCCACCCCCAAAAAATGGTAAATTTGGCGGACCACAGTTGAATTTGGCATCACATGAAGCTCCCCTGAATTTCACCAAAAATAAGCCCCAAACATGAGGAGTTTGTCCTGAATATGTTTTCGTATACAAGTTGTTCTTGGCCCATGTCATCCTGGTATATCTCCGGCAAATTTGAGTTTAACGTTCCGGGGGGTCTATGTTGGTCAAACTCTAATTCCACTACGAAAAAAGTGCCGATGCTGGCGTTAACATGTACCAAAACCATGTCAGAACTTTCAATTTAAGATAATTTAACATATCACAGAAGAAGTTCTTTGGTTTATAAATATCCATCATATTCTGCCGGGAAGTATCCACAGTTGTAAACCCCTGCCGGGGAGTATGTTTTTGACCACTGAGGGCTCTGGGCTTCCTGCGCCCCCACCCCAATTCAGAATGGCCCGGATTGTACCCGAAGTCATAGCTGGTCAATGGTTATCCCCTCCGGGAAGAATAGGTACCCTCTGGTAAACTAACATAACTATGGAAAATCACCCATTTTCAATGGGTAAAACCACTATAAATGGTCATTTTCAATAGCTATGTTAAATTACCAGAGGGTAAGTTGACTTCCCCTTAAATGGCAGATCAGGTTGGCGTCCCAGCAAGAAATCTTGCGCCAACTGCAGTAACCTGGCTCGCTGGGGCGCGAAAAGGAGGTCGCCAGGAATTGGATCCACCATCCCCCTGATGACTTGATGATTTACCATTTTTATGGCTGGTATAAACCATCAGAATATGGGTGGTTTGTGATCTTGTTTTACTCATATTGATCTATTTAGATGGCTGTAGCCATTGCATTATTATCCCCGCAAGCTGGCATATGCGGTCTATAAGTATGCTTATATATCCATGTAATTAGAGCTGCACCCCTAAGTGGAGGGTATCCGAGACCCATGAGTTTCAAAGCTAAAAATTTGTCAATTTTGGATGGGGGGCGGCCTATTTTGTGAGACATTGATGTGGGTATGGGTCAAGATGAAACGACCTAGAAATGGATGGTCTGATGCTACATGTGACCAGGAAATTATTTGCAAATATAGTTTTGAGACGAAGCCAATATATGAAGACGTTTGACCAGCTCAAATGTGGGGATATCAAGTTGTTGTCAAGCAAAACATCATCGAAGAGACGTGGATACAGTGATTCCCAGTGACGTGGTACTGTTCAAAAGAGACAAGGATTTGATGCTCGTTTAAGGGTATTTTAATAGGATTTCAAGGGTACTTGTTTTTGGGATTTCAAGGGGGGCTGATGGGATTTCAGGGGTTTATACTCTTGGAACGATCACTCCGTTTTTGACCTCTCGTTGACCAAAAGGGTACCCAAAGCCTAGCCTTTGAAGAAGAATTTGTGCGGACTACTTATTCTTAGTCAAGGCCAGGGAAATGTCTGAACAATATGTACTGTATACCCTTTCCAAATTTAACATATCACTATGGAAAGTTACCATTTTCACAGGCATCTCTTATCTATAAATGGGCTATGTATATCTATGCCATAGCTACGTTATCGGAGGATCAGGTGTGGATTCAGGTTTATGGGGATGCAGCTCTGCCATTCTCGTGGCATCTAAGGTCATCCACGATGCGTGAACCAGTGAGCTTGTGATTGGAGACCGGGAGGGGAGCACCTTTTTCAAGCGACAGATGAAAACTTGTCATTTGTGGATGGGTCAAAATTTAAGGTCTGTGGAAACAGATTTTCATTAATATGTTTATAGTTTATTTATAGTTTATTTATAGTATTAGCCATCTAATTTTGTTGTACCCAACTTTGACCTCTACCCATTTAGATCAGCAATTCTGAGCGGCTGGGTCGATGTTTCAAGGCTTGGGAGTCGCCGTTTGACTGGTTTGGGTCGGCCAAAGATGCCATTGGGCTGCTGAAAGCGTTGACAGGATGCCGTTGCCACAGATGTTAAATCATGTTCGAAAAACCTGACCGGAATGTTATCTCACAGTCGGACCAAAGCATAGATTGTGGTGAGTGTTTGGGAAATCATCCCAAATAACCTCAAATCAGGTTCAAAGTCGTAAGCCAACGATAAAGATCAACTTTTGGAGAAGGTATACACCCATTTCTGGTAAAAAATTAGGGATGTTTGATCATAAATCATAACCACTTGATGTTTTTTTTCAGTATTCCATGGCTTGCCGAGCTGAGCAAACGCCAATGCGAGGACAAAACATGGGTGGGGAATGGAGAGAGATGTCAGGGGCTATGGTTGTATCCAATGTTTCCCCATTGGGAGCCGTCAGGAGCTAGTAGCAGCAAGAGTTTCCCAACCTAACGATACAGGTAGTGAGGTTCATGTGTTTTTCCTGCGGGTAGATTACCATCCAGAGGCCTTATGTATATGAGATTCCGTCAAAATTTGTGCTGATTAAGTATGTACTGGAGTGTGCATCGGATGTTGGATAACAGCTGGATGTAGATCATAGGTTCACTCCAGCTGGAGAACAGCTCCTCAGTTGAGTAATAAGACCTTTTTTTGTGGGATGCAATAGATATCATAGATATCTTCATGGTCAACAATCCAGATCCTGACATTGGAAACTTGTTGTTTTCAGAATGATGCTTCAGCCCAGTGAGCAAGTGGGATATGGCCCCAAGTACAACTCCTGAGCTATTCACCACCAAGTAAGTCAGGCTACTTGGGAGTGAAGTTCCATAAGTGGCTATGTAACCACAGTATATCATAGGATACTAGGATACCATATTGTACCCCAGTTATACATATGGCTATTATATCAATCCATATTAAATCCATATCATATATCCATATTATAATCCATGTTTGTTTAGTGCAGTACCATATTATACCTTTGTTAAATATATATATATATGAGATATTCCCATAATATATATATATATGAGATATTCCCATATATATATAATATACACCGTATATACCATACAGCTATATAGTGGCTATACAACCATCTTAAACCATAAAAAATCACCAGTTATATACCTGGTTGGTGGCTTGGAACATTTTTCATTTTCCATAAATAATACGTCGGGTAATCCGTCCCAACTGACTTTCATATTTTTCAAGATGGCTAAAACCACCAACCAGACCATATTATCACCAGTTATACAATATGGCTATTATATACATATTAAATCCATTAATTTTAACCATATTAAATCCATCTTAACCATAAAAAATCACCATGGTTATGTTCACCAGTTGATCTGTTATAAACATGGTTGAATTTACCAGTTATAACCCATGGAAAATCCATTGAACAATCACCAGTTATATACCTGGTTGGTGGTTTGGAACATTTTTTTGTTGCTTATATTCTCCATTTTGTCCCCAATGTGAAATATTATTCTCCATTTTTGTTGGTTATATTCTCCATATGTTGGTTTGGAACATTCCCCAATGTGAAATTAAACCATATTATCATCACCAGCTATTTTCCATTTCATATATCGGATAATCCTTATTAAACAGATTAAACCATATTATCATTTTCACCAAAATTGATTTTGTTGGTTATCTACAGAATCAAATTTCTGATGATATACAAATTTTCAACTATTCTCAGTTATAAACCATATTATCATCAGTTATATACACTTATATACAGTTATAACCCATGGAAAATCACCATTTTCAATGGGTAAATCCACTATTTCTATGGCCATTTTCAATAGCAACCTGTTAGTTTACCAGAGGGTATAGGGAATATCCCCACAAAATTAAACCATATTATCACCAGTGATATACCGATTTTCTTCACCTTAAGCAACGAACGATGCCATCTTAAGCCTCGAAGCTCGGCTCGCTCGGCTCGGCTCGGCTCGGCTCGCTCGGCTCGCTCGGCTCGGCGGGTCGAGGATGCTCATCCCAGGTGAGTCTGGGAGCCCGGGATCTTGGGAAAATGTGGGGAAAAACCATGAAAATCTTGGGAAAATGTAGGGAAAATGGAAAATGTGGTGAAAAACCATGAAAAACCATGATCAATATGGAGGTTTGAATGGGAAAAGCCATGAATGGGAAAGACGGGAGTGATATAGATCAGTTAAATCCCTGTGTTCGTTGGTTCGATCCTTATTTTTCTTGGTCACATCTCCACAATTTTTGTTGGTTTTTTTTCCCCCAGCCTCAGTGGGATGGCATCAACGCAGTGGTTCAGGTGCAGCGCTTCGCTCAAAAGTATCAGATCATGATTGGCTCATACCCAATAGGATCCATGGTGCTGCTATATATGGTAACATTTACCATCATTATACCCCAAATGTTAGCATATACCATACATGGATCCTATGGGTACTGTCACGCAGACACTCGTGCTCGTGTTGGTGCTTGCAAATCCAGTGGTAGCAGTCCACTCCGTGGCAATATCGGACAACCCAACGGGTGAGCGTGTCAGGTTTTTCTCAATTTTTCTTGGTAAAGCCCCCATGTTTCTTGGTTCAATCCCCATTTTTCTTGGTTAAATCCCAAACTCTCAGTATTTCTTGGTAAAATCCCATAAATCCATATAAATCCCAATATTTCTTGGTAAATCCCCATGTTTGTTGCTTCTCAACCGCAGGCCATGACGTTTCCTCTCGCCCTGCTGCTACCAACGGTTGTCGCTGACTGCGATGGCATTCTGGCGGGCTCCGAGTGCTGCGCACCTGAGGAAACTATGGCCATGAACGAGTCTATGACAGGATGTAAAAATTAAGTCATATACCCTCTGGTAAACTAACATGGCTATGGAAAATCACTGGTTTTAATGGGTAAATCCACTATTTCTATGGTCACTTTCAATAGCTATGTTAGTTTACCAGAGGGTAAATCTCAAATTCGTTGGTTATATACACCCAATTCTCAAATTATGCCAAATATATATCTCATCTGGGTAAATTATAACGACCTCACTGTTCTCCCTCACTACAATCATTAGTTAGTAAGGGTAATCACCCCAAAATGGCCGAACTATTCAGGTTAGCGAAATATTACAATTTACCCAGGTATATGGTCATCAATGGAAAAAATATATATTCATGTCATGGATATCTATTAATAGTATCCGTATCCATATCCAATGATAATCATATGATTTATTAAGATGTACAATATTATATTCATTGGATTTTAGCCCATCAGTATGATGAACATTATATTTTATACATGATATTGAAACATTGAACATGTTTTTTTGCAGGTTATTTAAGATTGGCAATAATTACTGGATGTAAAAACTAGTGTTTTACTATGTTTCAATTGGATTTTTAACAAATGAATATGATGAACATGGATGAACATGGCATTATACATGACTACAACTATAACATACTAGAACTCTATACTTGCTAGATAAAACGATATGAATAAGAATTTCATCAGAAACTATGCAGGTAGACAGACTTTGGAGGCTTATAACATGTTATAACATGTTATAACATGTTAATAACCCTCCAAAGTTGGGATTCCACGGGAAAGGCCTCGGAATTCCGCAGCCTTCCCCGCACGGTGAATCATCGGCCAAAATGCTGCTTTAAAAAAAAAAACAAAAAATGGAAGATCCTTAGGAAAAATGATGGAAAAATGACGAAAAAGCACCAAAAGCTTCGAGATTGGTATGGCAGGTATGTGTCAAAATGGGAAAAATGCCTAATGATGATTGCGTCGACTAATGATAGGCACTATCAGGAGAGGGGGTATTGAACAAAACATGAAAGCAATATCTGGGGGCGTGCTCTTCTTGGTGGTGTTTTTTCATTTCTAGCCGGTCAAAACTGGTAGAAAAACAACATATTAGAAAAACAACATGTCACTACAAACCAATCATTTTTGGCTGTTTATCCCCATGCTTGTGTCACATGTTGGTTTCCCGGAGATGTGGAGGTTTCCGAAAATATCTTAAAATATCCTAAAATCATGGTACCCTCAAATTCATCTGAAATTCGACAATCATTTTCTGGTTGGTGGTTTGGAACATGTTTTTTTCGATATATTGGGAATGATCATCCCAACTGGCTAATATTTTTCAGAGGGATTATAACCACCAACCAGTTTTTGTGTTGAAGCCCATAGGTCTTGGGGATCCCCCATTCCGGGCATGGCAGTTGCTCTGCCTCGCACAGCGTCGACACCAGGAGGTCCACATTGAGTTTCCACATGGCTCACAGGTGCGGCCGATTTTGCCAACGTCCATTGGTTGATGATGCTTATAGCAAGACATTTAATCAATGGCCATTTCAGGAACCTAAATTGGAGGTACCTACCATATATAAGGCCTATATAAGGCCTATGTAAGGGAATATCCCAGCAAAATATGGCCCTATATGGTACAGTACCTCCATTTTAGGATCCTGAATTCCCATTCATTTAATGATGGATGTGTATGGTATATCATTGCATATCTGTAATTACCATCTGGTTATTTAACATAGCCATGGAAAATCACCATGCTATTAATAGGCAAACCATCTATAAATGAGCCATCTATACCATGGCTATGTTAGTCATAACCAGATGCTATTTTTTGTCTTCAATAGATCCTATGGATTCGATAAAGATACCCTCTGGCAATCCATGGCTAGCTGGGAAGTCATCAGTTTGAACTGGCAAATCGTCGAACTAGCTATGGTCATTATCCAGG